TCATTCAGTTCTACAAGTTTTTAACTTTCTTCTTTTATGTCTTGACATATTTTTTTCTTCCAGCAGTGAGTTGTTCAGTTTCCATGAATTTGTGGCTTTCTGTTGTTTCTGTTGTTGATATCCGGCTTTAATCTGCTGTAGGAAGTGGGATGTTATTTCAATTTTCTTATATCTCTTGAGACTTGCTTTGTGCCCAAATATGTGGTCAGTTTTGTTACATGAGCTGCCGAGAAGAAGGTATATTCTTTTCTGTTTGGGTGAAATGTTCTGTAAATATCTGCTTGTTCCATTTGATGCATGATGATATTTAAATCCAGCATGTCTCTGTTCAGTTTTTGTCTGGATGATCTATCTAAGGAGAGATTGGGGTATTGAAGTTGCCCACTAACACTTTGTGTGTGGGGGGGTCAAAGGGTATCTTTAGATGTAGTAGTGTTTGTTATTGTTGTTTTAATGAAGTTGGGTTCCTTTCTATTTGGTGCATAAATATTTAGAATTGTGTTACTTTTGGTGGATTTTTCCTTTAATGCATACATAGCATTCATTCCTATCTCTTTTGATCAGTTTTGGTTTAAAGTCTATTTTGTCAGATATTGAAATAACTGCCTGTTTGTTTCTTGGTTCCATCTGCTTAGAATGCCTTTTTCCACTCTTTCACCGTAAGGTGGTATCTGTCCATGATGGCAAGGTGTGTTTCTTGGTTTCAGCAGGAAGATGGATACTCTTTCCTAATCCAGTTTATTAATCCATATCTTTTTAATTGGGAAATTGAGATCATTTATTTAAAGTTATTATTCAGCAGTTTTTACTAATTCCTGTTATTTTACTTTGGCATTCTTCCCCCCCTCTTTTTTTCTTTTTTATTAGTTTTTATTTAAATTAAAAGCAATCTTATTTTACATACCAATCCCAGTTCCCTCTCCCTCCCGTTCTCCTATTCCCCCCACCAACCTCCTATTCCACCCCACATCCACTCCCCAGGGCCTCCAATGAGGGATCATCAAAATCTGTCACATCATTTGAGGCAGGACCTAGGTTCTCCCTTGTGTATCTAAGCTGAGAGAGTGTCCCTCCATGGAGAATGGGCTCTCAAAGTCCACTCATACATTAGGGATAAATACTTCTTCCCCCTTCTTTAGTGAGCTGTTCTTTATTTTATTAGGTTATTTAACTTTCACTTCAGACTGAAGTTTTCCTTCCAGTGTCTTTTGTAGACCTTGATTGGTGGACAGAAAAATGCTTAAATTTGTTCTCATCATAAAATGGTTTTCCTTCTCAGTTAGTTGTCATTGATGGATTTTTCTGGGTATAGTAGTTGGGGCTGGCATCTATGGTCTTCCAGGGCTTGTATAACATCTGTCCTTGCCCTTCCATCTTTCTGAGTCTTCACTGAAATGTCAGGTGTTGTTCTATTGGGCCTCCCTTTATATTTGACTTACACTTTTCTTTTATCTTTTAATATTCTTTTATTGTTCTTTACATTTAATGATGATTATTATGTGTGGTATAGAGTTTCTAATCTGGTTCTGTTCATCTGGTGTTCTGTTTGCCTCTTCTAACCTGATGGGCATCTCTTTCTTTAGACTGGAGAAATATCCTTAATTAGTGAAATAAGAGGCCATAAATTTGAAGGGGTACCAGTGCGTTGGATGATTTGGAGGGAGGAAAAGGAAGGGAAATGTTGAAATGTTATTATAATCTCAAAAATAAGATTAAAAATAGAAATAATAAAGTATTTTTTATGCCTTTGACCTTGATTTCTTCTTCTTCTATACCTGTAATTTTTGTAGGGCTTTTAGTCTATTCGTAGTATCCCAGATTTCCTGGATATTTTGTGCCTAATTTTTTTCAGTTTTGACATTTTCTTTTACTGAGCTATCCATTTCACCTATCTTATGTTCGGGACCTGAAATTCACTCTTCTATGTCTTTTAATCTCATAGTGAGGCTTAAATTTTTTATTTCCTAAGTTGTTAATTTTGAGTTTATTTCAGTTTGGCTGTTCCTAGGAATTCTATTTTTTATTGAATTCTACTTTCATATCTTAAATTGTTTTTCTTATTTCATTCAACTGTTTGTTCATGGTCTTAATTGAGACATTAATCCATATCTTCATTACATCCTTGAGCATATTCATAATTGCTGTTCTGAAGTCCCTACCTTATGCTTCAGCAAAATTGCTTTTCTCGGGGCATATTACAATATGGTTGCTGGCTTCTCAAGAGGCACCACTGTCTTGGTTGTTCATGTTTTTGCACTTAGGTCTAGGAATCTAGAATTACAACATTTGTGGTGTTTCTTGATATAGCTATCTGGTTTTACATTTCATTTAGTTCAGTGTTCAGTTCTCTAAAGAAACTTCTTTTATTTCTCACAGGGCAGGCCTACTAGTTAACAAACTCCTTTAATTTCTGATTTTCTGAGAAAGTAGTTCCCCTTCACTTTTAAAGAATAATTTTTGGGGCACAGAATTCTAGTTTGATGTGGATTAGGTCTCTCAAATTTTAAATTGTATTGTATTTCTTGCTTTCATGGTTTCTGAGAAGCCGAATATGTCTTATATTTTAAGTAAGGTCTTTTTTTTTCCTCTGATTTATTTCAATACTTTTTCTTTACCTTTGGATTTCTGTTGTTTTTATATGATCCACCTAGCCTTAATTTAATTTGGTGTGATTTGGTTTCATCTGGTGTTCTACCATCTATTTGGGCATTTAGTTGGGCTCCCTGCATCTGTGATTTGGTATCTGATAATACCTTGAAGGAATTCTCAGTTTTGCTTCAATATCCTTATTTTCACCTTTTAACACTCACATTTGACATACATTATGTATTTTTATTTGCCTCACAGTTCTTGGATTTTCTTTTTAATACTACAAAGTTTCCAGGTTTAGGGATTTTTTGTTGTTACTTTTGTTTTGTTTTGCTATCCTTTTGCTTTCTACTTCTGGAGGTTTCTACTGATACATACGCAAGCTTAAGTTCCTTTCTCTCCCAATTTTCCCCAGAACTTCATTATAGACACCTGATTCAGGTTTTCTTCACAACTGCTGGTTCCTACAAAGGTTCTGCTTGAAGGTCTCTTACCTGCTAAGATGTGAGTCTCTATATTTGCCCCATTAATTCAACTCATGGCTCTGTGGTTTTCAACAGCATGTCAGTTCTCTGCTATCTTTAAGGAAGATTGCTGTTTTTCAGTTTGCTTAATTGTTATTATGGGGTTAAATGACTTCTAAGCTATTTGCATGCCAAGACAGAAACCAGAAGTCCCCACCTTCCACTTTGAATACTAGTTTTACACACGCATAATTTCACAACACCATGTTTTTGTTTTTGTTTTTGTTTTTCGAGACAGGGTTTCTCTGTGGCTTTGGAGGCTGTCCTGGAACTCGCTTGGTAGTCCAGGCTGGTCTCGAACTCACAGAGATCCGCCTGCCTCTGCCTCCCGAGTGCTGGGATTAAAGGCGTGCGCCACCAATGCCCGGCTACAACACCATGTTTTAAACATTTATTTTAAACCCACTGAGTTGTGCAGACCTTCCCATTTCATCACACAACATAAAAATTAAACCTCCATGAAATATTACTGAACGATATCATCAAGAAACTATGTAGTTTATTGTGATGGGAACACATTTTCCAAAATTCAAATTTTAATCTGAAAGCTTAAATTTTATCATTGGTCACATATATTCTCAGCTGTTTGCCATGAAGTAAGAGGTTCATCTCATTGTTTTTTTTGAAAGAAGTCTGCAAAATATTGATGTTTTGAATAACCACAGTTGCTCTGTTGATTGCTCCTTTTTATAAAAATGATATTCCATGAGAAAGTGACTAGCTTGTCTCACAATGCAAACATACATAGAAGTCCTCATACTATTTTATGCAGCAAAGAGTATCAAATGGCATATATTCATGATCAAGATTTAATCTGAATTTTAAAGTAAAACTGACTTTTTAATGTGATACCTATAAGATATAGCATATACAGTTCTGTATAGCATATGATACAGTGAAAACAAACAGCGAAATTACTGGATCATATATTATTACTTGTTATTTTAAAGTGTACTCTTTCTACTTATGTAAAACAGTCAGTGTGAAACAGTGTGCTCTGTTTTACTTTGACACCTGCCTCATACATTTAGTGTTCACTGTGCCTTTTAACTGTATCAATACATATATCATCTTGGTTTATATAAGTGTGCTATATGACATTCAAATAATAATGAAACTGACTAAAGACACGTTTCTCCCACACTTCCATCTCCACTCCAATTTTTAAGTAACACCCACTATATTTAGAGACTACTCAGATACTGATTATATGATCTTAGAGAATTCAATTACTCTGACCCTTGGTTTCTCACATATAAAATGGGATTATTTGTAAAGTATGGAAAGATACTCTACATAAATAACCTGGTACATTTTCAGGTGGTAGTTCTCAGTATCTAAAAATGAAAAATCAAAACGAAACAATGTTGGTGACTTAGAATCAAGTCAGTCTAGTGAAAGTAAAAGAAAAATCACACTTATTTGAAGCCACATAGGATTGCAACGTGGGCAAACACAGTCAAAAGTATTGTTGAAAATGTGTTATTAGGTATACAAAATGGAAATAGTACTTATATAGCTTTAAATGGAAAGTGCATTGGTAATTGCATCATTTGTTATTCTGAAACTGTGATTGGGAGTGACAAAAATTAAGCTACCTTGTAAGAACATATGTTTTTAAAGGTAAATTTCAGAGCAAGACTAGAAAGCCTTTGCTATCTGGGCCTCATACAACAAATAGCATTCATATGATTCTAGTGCTATGACCCAGAGTCAAGTTTAAGGTCACCTTGAACTAGGCCATAAATTTAAGTTTAATAAGGGAAGGAAGAAAGGAAAGAAGGAAGAAAAGAAGGAGAGATGGAGGGAGGGTAGATTGGGGGCATGTGTTACTTTTCTCATTTCTGTGACAAAATATCTTATAAGACAGTGGTTATTTTTGCTTACAGTTTGAATGGATACAGTCCATCATGCCAGTGAAGATATGGCAGCAGGATTGTCAGACGTTTGGTCACGTTGCATCTGAAGCAAACAAGCAGAAAGCAGATAAGTAATATGATCAGGTCATAAAACCTCAAGCCTCATCCCCAGGAACCCATTTCTAACAAGTTTCTGCCTCTTAAATGTTCCTGGGAAGAATTTTATTGTATTTCTTTCTTTTTATGTATGTTTATTTAAATTAGAAACATGCATGCTTCAAATGTCTATCCCAGCTCCCCCCTTCTCTTTCCACCAGCCCCACTCCCACCTCCCCACCCCCAGCCCAATCCCCACATCATTCCCCAGAGAGGGTAAGACCCTCCTTAGGGGGATCTCCAAAGTCTGTCATTTCATCCAGGGAAAGGACCTAGGCCCTTCCCCATGTGTCCAGGCTAAGAGAGCATCCCCCCATGTGGAATGGGCTCCCAAGTTTATTGTATTTCATGAATCTATTTTTGGTTGTGAGCCTAGCCTGTAATAAACAAGCCATCTCTCTAGCCATCATAAATCTGCTGTATAGTATAAATGAACAATGTTTCCAAAGTTAATCCACACCTGGGATGATTATTTCTGCAGTCCCACTTTAAAGTTCCACTAGCTGAAATCTGATTTATATGACCTCTGAAATTGTACTGGTTAAATTTTTTCTTGCCTTGATATAAAGCAAGGTCATCTGGGAAGAGGAAATTTCAACTGTGAAAATGCCTCCACTATATTGCTCCATAGGCAAAACTGCTGGGGGAATTTTCATGATTAATGGCTGATATGGAAGGTCCCAGCCCATTGTTTGGATGCTACCTCTGACTTGTGTAAGAAATCAGGTTGAGCACTGGATTAATGAGTAAGACAGTAAGAAGCATTCCTACATGGCCTCTGCTTCAGTTCCTGTCTTTCATGCTCTGACTTCCCTAAATGATGGAATGTACGGTGTAAGGCAAAATAATCCCTTGTCTCCCCAATTTACATTTAGTCATGGTCTTTATCATACCAATAGAATTGAAAATAAGACACAACTGCATTCTTAGTGTCCTAAATCAACATTTTCCCATTTTGTCCTCTACAATTTTGACAGGCTGTGATGATGGCTAGAGTTAGCAAGATGAAAGATAATGATGTTACTGGGCTACACGACAGAAATGAGGATATTCTAAAGAAAGACTTGTAACTCTCCCTTTGACCATTAAATTATTGAAACAATGGACCCAAAAATTACAGTTTCCTTAAGAAGAGAAAAGGGCTAAAGCCCTAGGGCCCAACTGAGGAGGAACTTATCTCCAGAAAAGATTTACAACTGGCCAGATGACACTACAGGAGAGAATGACCTGGTGGATATTAGAACTGAGAGTGGTGGGCAGGAGATCCACACCTTGGTAACACTCTTTAGTTATGCATTTATCTCACCTTTTATTTAACCTTTACCCTCATCTTAGGACCCTGAAGATTTGTGGGAATCACTGGATCTCTGTCCCTCTTGTCAATATGGTCCATGCTGAATAAATATGCCTCTCTTTTCCTCCTTTTTTTGCTTTTCATTATTAATTTAGCTTTGTTAATTTTCCCATCATGGACAGATGGTTGAGCTTGGCTTGTTAGATCTACCAGAGTACAGGCTCTGATCCTAACATCAGTAACACTCTGATACATATAATTTTCCTGTGGCTTCTAAAATGAGTTGCCACAGAGTTGTTAACTTAAAATAACAAACAGTCTCCTGCTTTTATAGAAGCTAAAAATCAATGCCGTGTAGGAAAAAGAAGTCAATGTATCAGCAGGGTCACATTTGCTCCACAGTTTCAAGTTTTAAATCTGCACTCTTACCTAGTGGCCCTTTCTTCACAATGAAAGCCATCACTGTAGTGTTTAAGCCATCATTTGACAAGTTTAATCATTTAACCAGCAGGAGGGAAGGTACTCTAAAGAGACACTTGTGCTCCTCATTTTAGATACCAGACTATTGAAACAATGGACTCCAGCGAATTAAAAATGTCCCCAATAAGTTCATGCTAGGAAAAGAGAAGCCCTGGTGACAATAAGAGAAGTCACTTGCCTCCCTGGAAGAGATTGCACAAATCTCTGATAATCTATCAAACCACTTTGAAGACATAGGAGACCAAGCAAAGGTCAATAATGAGAAAGGCTGCACTTTGACCAAGACTTTCTAATTTCGCATACTTCTTACCCCCTGTGTAATGTAAAAACATCATTCCAGCACCCTGAAGATTGACTTGGGGCTCACTGGTCCTTTATTTGTTCCTTTTCCCAATACAGCCACTTTGACTAAAATCGTCCTTTTCTACTTTTGCTATTTCTTGTATTGCTTTAATGGAGGAATGGAAGGCTGAGCCTTGCTTATTGGGACTGCTAGAGTTGGGCTTTTACTCTAAAAGCTCTATTAACAGTTACCTTGTCATCTCTTCTGGACCAGCTTCCTCTGTCTCCTTCATATAATGGCATCTGTGATGACATTATGGCCCATCAAAATAATCCAGGGTCATTATCATATCTCACAATCCTTAACTGAGCAACATCTTCAGAGTCCCTTTTACAATATCAGATAATGAAAATTTTATAAATGTGAAAGCTTTTAATCAGTCGACAGTGACCAGAGAGTAAAGTATTCCAAACCTTAACTTTTAAACATTTTGAACAATGTAACTTCAACAGCCATCAAAATCATATACATAGCTACTTAAATGCAAGTTTCTTTCTTGCTTCCTCTATTGCTGTTCTTTTACACACCTCTTTCCCTTTCTTAATGCTTTCCCTAAATCTAGAATAAAAGCTTTACTTTATAAACTCCAATTTTGCTTCATAATAACTCTTCCAAAATTCTTTTTTATTTTGTATATCTCATATTTTGAAATTAAAATATATGTAATTTCCCCTTTATTTTACCTTTCTTCCCTCCAACCCCTTCCATAACTCCACACACTTGTTCTCTATCACAAATACATGCTTTCTGGTCTTTTTCTTTAATTGTTGTTGCACACACACATACACACCAGGAATATATGTGTGTATATTGCTACACATAAATAAAATCTTTTCATTCCATAATGCTACTTGGAACAGGGTACCTGTTGTGAGATTGCAACTCCTAGAAATATGAAGGAAGCTATACCTATAATATTGCAACAATGTGGCTGCTTAAATAATACCTCAATAAGAGCAACACCAACTGGCATGCTATTATGCAAGAAGGAAATCAGACTGGGCCCCAACACATTAGACAAAGAACTACAAGAAAATAACGAATAATGAGAGCCACAGAAATAGTATTCCTCAGGGAACAGTCCTGCAATTAGTTATCCAATACCAAGTGGTCAGTCCTCAAATAATATATATTATATATATATATATAAGAAATATTATAGAGATTTCTTTTCTGTGGTGTATATCAAGAATTGAGAGTGAATAAAGGTTTCTAAAAAGAACTCCTCAGGCTGCTACAGCTGGCCTTGTATGGCTGCATGTCTCACTGATGCTGACAGTAGATGTGCCAGACACTGTTCTAAATAGATTACATACATTAGCTCTTTTAATTCTTATAAGTTCATGAAGAAGAGATTGGGTATTAATTATCATCATTTTCCAGGAGAAGGTACAAATTAAGTAACCCATTCACAGTCACAGATTCCAATAAACTGCCAGCTCAAATTCAAACAAAGGCAATCTGACTCTGGAGCACCTAACAGCCACTACAGTATCTTTGTAAGACAGCAGGGAATAGACACCACATTCAGGAGATAAAAAAAAGAATTTACTGAAGTTACTAAATTATTATCAAGTATAAGAGATAATATATATATTCATATATATATATATATATTATATGTCATTATACAAAACTAGACCAAGAAAAAGGGCTGCAAATTACACCATTTGAAGACATTACCAGGTCATTCTGAATCTGCTCTGTGAGTGTGAATTTTGCATCAATGGAAAGTGAGCAGAAGGTGAACAGGTAACAGTTTTAAAATGTTCTAAAATCTAGATGGAGAGCTAAGGACTACGTGTCACTCTTGAGGTAGACATGAGGGCAGGGCATAGCCATCTGCATAGCTGTTAAAGACTGATGCTAGAACTGTACTTTACATGAGTGCTCGAAACTGGCTATGTACAACATGACTAATGAAGATGCTTGCTAAACTATCATTTTTTTCATTAAAGAGCATTTCTATATAATTTGCCTTTTGAAACTGCATGTTACTAACATGGCATCTGATGCCATGACAAATCCTAAAAATCCAATTAAAAACATAGAGAGGGAGCAAACCTGGCCAGTTTCATTTGGTTGCTATTATAAAATACCCTGAGAAAAACCAATTTGGGAGGAAAAGTTTACTATAGCCCACAATTCCATGATTTAGTCTATTTAGTAGAGAGTCAAGGTGGCAGGAACTTAAAAACAGCTAATCACAACACATTTACATTTAAGAGCAGAGAGAAAAGAATACATTGCACTGCCTACTTGTGCTCACCCTCCGCAGTATTCTTACACAGTTCAGGAACCGTTCCTTACACAGGGAATGATGCCACCAACAGTAGACTAAATCTTTCCACATGAATTCATGTAATCAAGACAATTCTCCCCAGACCAACCCACAAGCCAACCTGATCTACACAATTCCCTCATGATACTCTCTTTCCAGGTGATTCTAAGTTATATAAGATTGACAATTAAAAGCAACCATCACATACATCACTCAAATTTTCTTAGTTTTAGCTGTCCCTCCTTCACCCTTCACTTCCATTTAAGCTTCTTAAAATATGTACATATGTGTAAGAAATATAAATGGAATCACAAAATAAAGGGGGGTACAAAGCCCCAACTAGGCATCTCTCACCAAATGAAACCTCCAGTGCTAGAAATGGGTTATATCTAATTATGTTGCTGGCCTAAGGAGCTTCATGTAAAACCCCAAACAACACAGGATATTGTCAAGGTTATTTACTGTGCTCCACAAAATGATGGCAAGGCCCTGTTGTTGAAGACAACACCTACATAACTTACGGAAAATGGAGAAGTCAAGCTGGTGCCT